CCCCCTTGCCCCTGGAAATAACCTCCCGAACAACCTTCGTATTTTACCTACGGACGTTACCCTTAAACATCATGCCCCCGACGTCAATCTGAACGCTACATCTGGACATTACCTTCTGGATTTTTTCCCCGGACTTAATCCTCCGGACATTCCCCACGGACATTCCCGACGGACATTCCCCCCAACTGACTCCTTCCCTTCCCTGACGGATATTGTTAATTTGTTTGTTTGTTTGCTTGGTTTTTTTTTACTGTATTCTTAGGAATATACAAGGGCTTTACAGCACGCAGACATAAAAACCTTCAAGAACTATATAAAGGTACCTTGGGGATGACTTGTTTATTTTATTCATTTATTCATTGATTTATATTTTTTTCCTTTTATTTACTTCTTTTCTCGTGTGTTTTCTGCATTTACGATTCCTCTCTGTTAAAGCCGAGACAAGTAATGGTAATTGTATTGCATCTAAATGACTCTTTATCCAGGCTTAAGTTTCCCACGCTGTTATGCTTTCCGTCACGCAACACTCGTTACGGAACGCGCTTTTATGGTTGCGTGACGAGCCAAATAGGAACGGTGCTGAATCTGCCTATTCGTGCTCCGCGATCTCTCTATAATGGTGTATAGAATAGTAATAAACCTAATTCTCCCTAATCCTATCTAAATTAAATATTTAAATGCAATGGTAGTCGGCATGCTTTCAGTGCTTTGTATGATGTTTGTGGTCAACAACTGTTTATTTATTTATTGTTTTCAGGCTTTTTTCACCAACCTTCGTTCTTGACCAAGGCTAAGTCCCTTCACCACCAGACGGAGGGAACGAGTTTTGTTTAATATTAATATATGTAGTTACAGTGTGGTGGCTGTAAAAACAGAGGATAGAGTTTAACTTTAATTTTATCATAGAAATGACAGCGTCCCCGAATTAGAAAATCGAAACAGTTAGTGTTAAACACAAAATTTTACAGATCAAAGGTTGAATGATATTTACAATTTGAGCAAAGCCTAAAACGGTTCTTGAAATTATCTTGAACATACTAAACTACCTCATAAGCTATTCTTTTATTTTAAAAAGAGTCAGTATTTGGTAAACCTGTCAAAATTGCAAATCTGCTCTCTTTTGAATAGAAAATAGCACCGAATTTTCTACAAATTATTTCATATTGGTAGCAGGGTCACCGATTTATGGTGGTGGGTTTTCCTGTAAAAGTGACAGCACTTACTTCAGTCTAAAACTTTTAAACTGAGCCTTTATTTAAGGGTACCGCAATCTCGCTCCGTGAAAGGGTGTTGAACAGATCCATTGTTACGTCTAGAGGGTAAATATTATTCTGTAAAGAAAGAAACAAATTACATGTATCTTCAACGGTACTCTTTTTAGAAGAACACACTAGTCAGAGAAAGGCAGTGTGCCTCTATCTCGTTCACTCCCAAGATCTAAATATTAATTCTCTGCACCGTCTGCCTTACATTTCATATACTATTAATTCTGAGAATTTGGTGTTAGGTCAAGCATCATCCCGCTGGTGATGATTTTTCTTGCTTTCTATCACCTTTCTGCTTGACATTATATTGATATTGCAAGGTGGAAAAGTGTCCCTTTGATCGCTCCTGGGATTACAATTCTTAAATTTGAATATTATGGCTAGGAAACCAGTCAGTCTGTGCATGCATATTTAAGCGTTTGCTGGCAAATGGAGAAATTTACTTTGGGGTTCACTTGTAGGTCTCTAATCGCTATGAATTTCCTGCAGAAGTATTACTCATATTCACAAAAATGCAAATATATTCAATTTATTGCTCAAAAGCGGACAAGAAAAGTTAAATTTTTGCCTTCTGCTTTCGCTCTAACCCGGTTCTTAATAATGTTAATTTGTTATTATAAATTATTTCAAGACCTTGATTTGTTAATAGTATCCTACATGTACAGAAGAAAGAATTTCGCTTTAAATTAACCCAAAGAAGTCAACCATATTTTTTTCTTACGTTGTATTTCGTCAACCACGAACACAAACTTGTTATTCAGGCATAGACATATTTTTTTTTACGCTTTTTACGAACATTAAGTAGCGTTCATATTTAGAGACAGGCAGAGGAACTCTAGATAAAGAAATAACAACCTTTGAAAACCGTCATGTTTTGTTATTATCTGTTCTGTCACCTTTCGTAGAAATAAGTTGGGTAAGATATCCGCTCAGCCCTTTACTTTATTATGCATACAGTCTTGGATAAAGAAAACAATGGCGAAGGTAGAACGAAACTGTGTAGAAATCTTACCATGAGTTATCTTCGTCGCTCCAAGTGGGTTACAAAATTCAGAAATGGAAATTGAGGCACAGAGAAAAAGAACTTATTGAAATAGGCAAGTGTTTCCCTCGAAACCAACATTCTAAGACCGGTTGCTCATTGATTGTAGGCTCAATACCGATCTTTTGTAACCTAATTCTTCTTCGATCTTTCTTGTCCCACATTTCCCTTAAAAGGTATATCTGTTTATATTCTTGGAAAAACCGGCGGAAGGATCGAAACTGGACTGAGTTACCTTTTTTCTCGGAATAATCAACTCTATGTCATCATCCGGCTTTTCTGATGAGTTGGAAAGGAATTTTACGACAAGTTAAGTATCTGCGTGTATCGTTCTACCTGAGGAAATGCTGAAGTGGATAAATTCTCTTTTGAAGTGTCTTCGTGTGAAAAGATGACTAATTAGATCTAGGCAACCTTTTGAAAATACTTCATGAAAACAAAGCGTTAACTTCACTTGCGGTACATAAAAATTTGGGGAATCTATGGAGCTCTCACAGATGAAATAATTGCAAGTTTGTGTGTTAGCTATAAGCGGTGAGTGACCATCAGCACATTATTTATTGTCAATGTACTGCTCTGAGAATATTTAATTTCCAAGTGTTTTTAATCATTTAGGATCAAGCAGGGCCGAGTGACCATTGACATACGCAGAATTTTGCACCGCTAAAAGCGTATTACTTTAATATTTACCCAACTTTTATAGAGACCTTCGTTAATCTTTCTTTCTAAGGAAATCACTCACTTAATTCCAAGTTAATTAAGTAATATGTATTAAGCTCCTGATCGTGCTACCTCGATTCAATTAATTAACCTTTGCACACCCAAGAGTGATAAGCAACCGATGTCTTCAGTCTTATAGCATCACTGCTGAGTCAAATATTAAGGTCCTGAGAATACAGAAAAAGATCGTCAGCTGAAGACGCTCTTGATCATTGAAGAAATTGTCCTTGTCAGTGCGGGAACAGTATGGGGGAACATACTGGTGTAAGATTGTGTAATGCTTGAAGGCTTACTAAATCAAATGCCACTCTTGGCCATTTTATTTCACCTATGCAAATTCACAAGTATCACAAAATGAGACTACTTGTGATCAAGTGCCGGTATTTTCCTTTCCAGCAAGGGAATTTCGAATGAGGTTTCAAAATAATCCGTGATCAATTTTGCATTAATGACCGTGTACGACACGTCATTTACCAAGGAATTTCCTTTCCGTCCCAAGCAAAAAACTTCCCATTATCCTTCACTTCCAGTCCTTCAATCACCTTCATCAGGCAATTCACAGAATACTCCGGGGTAAATATCTTGGCGGGGTCAATATTTCTGTGGTATCGTCTAGACAAATCTGTGTTCACTGTTCCAGGATGTAAACAAACACATATGACCCGCTTCCTTCCAAGCTCGATACTGAGATTTTTCGTAGCCATATTGAGAGCCGATTTAGACATTCTGTAACTGTACCAGCCACCTAAAGCGTTATCCGAGATCGATCCAACTCTTGCTGATATATTTACCAGAATCCCAGCCAAAGCATTCTTATCTGGACTGGTTCTCTTCGTTAGCATTGGACTAAAATGTTTCGCCATTATCAAGGGGCCTAACGCATTCGTTGCTAAAGTCGTCTGTAGACTTCGTAGATCGACCTCTCGCAGGCTTGTTTCTCCTTTACCACTAGGGTGCAGCATCCCAGCGCAGTTTACCAACAAATCGAGTTTCGTATCTCCAACGCTAACAGCCACTTCAGACATTTGATTTTCATCTAAGACATCGACACGATGAATTGATAGGAGGTCGCCATGATCGATTTTAAGTTGAGTCAATTCTTGGGCTTTTGAAGGGTCTCTGCATGTTGCAATCACAGATGTTTGTTTAGAAAGCAAGTAACGGCACATTTGAAGACCAATACCGCGGCTTGCGCCTTGAATCAAAGCGCTTTTGAACATGTTTTCGACGTCGTTTTCGTCTTAGCATTATGTAATCGATCCACAGCCAGCCCAAGCTCCAGCTTTGAGACGATCTCTTGCGAAAGTTTGCATGGGAATGTTTACGACCGCTCAAAGGAATGAAAAAAATAAGTCAAATTCTCAATACAGTTGCCTCACCTTACTTCCACAGTGCATCGCTTGTTATCTGACCGCTTAATACGTTGAAGGGAACCCATTCTAGCAAGTTATCCGTTTCGAAATTTTCTGCGTACATAAGAAAAGGCTTTTCATCGCAAGGTGATCAATCATTTCACAGCTGGAGCTTGGACTACCTGTGATCAATCGTGACAGAAGGCGAGAGAGGCATGGAACGGGGATGGCATGACAGAAACTGAAAGTACACGCGGGAAATTCAAACGAGCAAACGGTAATTAAGCTGTTTATAGCTCGGTAAAAATCCCTAGCTTCGGTTTTCTTTCAGAGTATAGTTTCGAAATTAAACGAAGCAGTAAGTAAGATAATTGGTTCTATAAGATTCTTTAGGCTGGCTGTTTTCTTTCCAGCAGCTCAAAGGTAGGTTTACTTCAGCCACCGAGTCAGCATGATTTTCATTATCATTTTAAGCGTTTATCGAGGTTCGTGTTCCTCGTGTAGGTATCGGAAACAACGAAATTTATTATTCAGTTCACGAATTCCAATCTACTTTCACTCTTTCATGTTGAGTTATACAATTTTTTCAGTTATTAAAACTTCACATGCTCAGGGGAGGTTAGAGGCTTTTGAGAGAACTTAAATTACCATCAGTACTTCAATAGTCATTTGGTGCTTGGAGAGAGAACACACTGTCTGAACAGACTTAACTTTATTTTCTTAACTATATTTAGGGATGCAGGTGGTTGGGATAACTTTAAATGGTTATTTTAACTCCTTGAAGTGATGAACATGTAACTTCTCTCTATAAAATCCTTACAATATCCAGCAATCAGGTAACAAGAATACTCAAACATATAGATAGATAGATAACCTTAATTTATACACAACAATATTTTAAGTTACAAGCTTGTGGGGTCGTGTGAAGAAAAAAGGAAAATTACACATGTAAATATAACTTGAGTTTGAAAATAGAAAATTATACATGTTATAACTTCCAAGTAAAAACAAAACTGGTATGTATAAGGCCAGTAGTAAAAGCAGAAAGTATGTCAAATTTGAATTTGTCTCTGGTGAGTGGGAGTTTTTTCAGATTATTGAGACTCAGGTGTCCAACTTCTTGTTCATTGTAGCAAATAGCATTCCATAACACAGCCCCATGATATTTTAGGGAGTCTTTCATGTACCTTGTTTGAAACCTGGGTATTGTTAAAAGGTCATGTCCACTCAGAGAATAACCATTTGAACAACATTTATGCATGTTTTCAGACAATGAGTCGGGAAGAGTGGCATTGTAGCCTGTGTAAAAAAGCTTGAAGATGTCCGATTTATAATACAAAGAAGGTATAGGCCACTGGTCATATCTAAGCATGTTGGATGATGTCATATCTTTAGGTAGATTAAATCTAATTCTTGCTGCCCTGCAGTGTAGTCTCTCTATTGAACCAAATATATCAGTATTATTACAAGATCCCCACAGAACTAAACCATATTTTACAGAAGTCAAAATTTCTTTGAAATGAAATTCCTTTAATATATCCCTTGTGAGAAATCTGGGTCGTTTTAGCAAGTTCAGTTTGTTAGCAAAGCTCTCTTGGGTCTCCAGTACATGCAGTACCCAGCTGAGTTTCTGGTCAACTGTCAAGCCCAGCAAGCCTGCTTTGTAACCACATCAGATTTGAGGTTCCTAAAAGCACAGGAGCTATTGATCCCATCAGGGTTCCTTTACTGAGTAACATAACCTCACTCATGCCTGGATTGGGTGTTAAACGGTTGTTAAAGCACCATGCATGTAACTCTTGCAGTACTGCATTAAACTGTGCAATAGCTGTGTCTGCAGTTTCTCCTATACAATAAACTAACATCATCTGCATACATATGCAGTGATCCTGAGCAGACAGAGGATGGAAGGTTGTTTGTGAAAATTGTGAAAAGAGTCTGTTCTAGCACTGATCCCTGGCTAATGCCAAAAGTGAATGAAAGACAGCAATTCACCATCATGAATTGCTGTCTCTCATTTAGATAACTCCTAATCCAATCAAGAAATGTGCCTGTATAATGCCAAAGTCACATTTCAGCTTCTTTTCTAGTATATTGTGGGAAACAATGTCAAATGCTTTTTGAAAGTCTAAAAAAGCCACAGCCACCACCTTCTCTGAGTTGAGGGCTGCTCTTCATGTTTCTGTCAGATGCATCAGCAGTAGTTCCATTGAATGCCTGGCACAGTATGCCAATTGTCTATCTTAAACTAGATTGTTCTCTCTGAAAGCCTGTTGCACAATGTTATCATTGACTTCAGAGTCCATGATCTTGTTTGGTACGCTATGCAAAGAAACCAGACAGTGGTTTCCAAAATCAGTTGCATCAACTTTTTTTAATAAGTAGGTGTAAGCCTAGCTGTTTTCCAACTGGAGAAAACTGTTTTATATTCAATGCTACTGTGATAAAGGCGAACAGAGAAGATAGAATTTGTTATCCTGATCTAAAGCGAAACTCTCGTAACTAATCTACAGGGAAATGTGTAGCAGCTAGAGGGAGGAATCCTGAGGGAACTTCTCATGGCCAATTTATGTTATCAACTGAGTTGATAAAACTAAATTAACCTGTTATACTCTCTACTGATGTAGCACCACAGTTTCTTGAGAAACTTACCCTCTTTATTCCTTGTAAATTAGTTATGAATTTGGTGTCGGATCAAGATATCAACTTCTACCTGATAAGTTTGAGTATTCTCATAACCTGTTAGCTGGATAATGTGAGGATATTATGAAGAGAAGTTTTATCTTTATCACTTCTGGGAGTTAAAGGGTTAAGAGTCAGGTACTGGTCAGGAAGGAATATACTATAAGCTAAAATATGCTAGTATTTTGAAGGACAGTTATATAAACGACACTTTGCTTTTTATCCTACAAAACAATTATATTCCATGCTGCTGTGTGTTTATTTAGCTAAATAGGGTAATTTAATATTATTAACTGAGTCAATAACATAAATTGGCAACCATAAAGAGTCAGGAGGCTGATGTTTTGAGCATTAGCTCTTTGTCAAAACATCAGCCTTAAAACTTGGCTAATTTACCTTATCAACTCAGTTGAAAACACCAAATTACCCTGTTATACTGTCCCACCAACACAGCACCACAGTTTCTTTAGAAACTTACCCCCTCTGTTCAGCTAAATAGATAAAAGATGAGATCAAAATATGGTAAGAACATCAGTGACACACTCAGCTGCACCTCATCTGCCACTTTTTTGTTCTTACCACATCATTTTGATGTCATCTGTGATCTATTTCTGAACTGATACATTGTTGAATTATGTGACCCTTGACAGTTACCACTATTATCTGCATCATATGGGAACCATTTGGTCGAAAGTCAAACCTGTAACATGCAGTCACCCATAAGGAATGGCAGAGTGACTGTTTAACCCTTTAACTCCCAGTAGAGATTAACATGAAACTTCTCCCAATAATATCCATACATTATTCAGCAAATCAGCAATGAGAATATTCAAACTTATCAGGTAGAGGCTGCTATCTTGATCTAGCACCAAGTTCTTATAACTAATTTACAAGGAAGTGTCTAGCAGCTAGAAGAGAGAATTAACAATCAGATCTTAGTAATTAAAGGCTTAATACAGGTTGACTGCTTAGCACAGGTTGACCAGCAATTGATTTGCATGATGTTATCTTTCTTTTATGTCCTAACAGTGCATAAAAGAAAGATAATCTACAATGCATTGCAGACATTTGAACTCGAAGTGCTAACATAAATTTTTCTTGAGAGAAAACTTTTGGTTTTACTGGAGTAGATCTGCTTTACATCACTGTTTAATACAGGGAAAAAAATTCTGGACTTTGACGACTGACCACTTAATATAGGCTGACTGCTTGATTGTTAACAGTTTCAACTTGTTCCACCATTGTAAGCAAATGAGATTATTTGAGCAAAATTGGTCAGGTGAATTTGTTTTACTGTGACAGCACTTTTTGGGTAGTCATTCTAAAAGAGTCTCGAGGACTATTTTAAGGTTGAATAACTATAGTATGGTTTTAGTTCCATCCTTGATCTCAAGATCTGGCTTTTTTCAGGCAGCAGTAGCTGTTGTATTTGTGGAAGTAGTTTTGTATATGTTCAACCAAAGGTGTGAACTACAACTTAGCCTACAACTTGAGACCTATTTAGAAAATGGATGAAACTTGGGTTTTAAGAAAACAGGACACACTTTTGCCTTCAAAAAATGTTTTAAAAGCTTTCTAGATTTATTTAAATCATAGGAAGATAGATGGACAAGAAAAATTTGGGAGAACCTTTTGTACGTATATGCTCTCTGTCTTTATAAGAGTTGTGTTCTTGTTGATAGGAAATTAAAAGATCAGCATTAGTTGAAAATCTAATGTGTGCCAAGGTTTTGAATAACAAAAACTAGTACCAATTTTCACAGGCTGCAGGGCTAACTTTTGGGGAATTCCACCTAATTTTTTGAGCTTGTGATTTGGATTCAAAACTTTTCATGTATCTTAATTTCATCTAAAATCCTCCAGTCACCTTACTTCATGGAACATTTTTTTTTCATCTGCAGAGAGTTGTTGATAAGTTCTAAAATTGTTTGGGGGCCACTGAAAGCAAGACCCAAGTGAAAATCAAGGTGTGTTTCTTGAAATGTGTAACTTGATCATAATAGTGCAACTGCTTTGGTCAGTATGCCATATCTTGCCTTTGTCATCCACACAGGGTACCCAAGGTGATTGTTAAACTGAAGTACTCGATTTGAACTTGGTGTTAAGACAACTTCTTTGGTACTTAATTGAGAGGAACATTACTTGTAGTGAAATGAAATCTTCTAAGTAAATAAACTACAACAGCGATCATTCTTCTCAGGCTTAGCGAATAGTATTAGACATTTTTCAAATCATTTCTGGGGGTAATTCTTAGATGGTAGTACCGATTCATTACTTCGTCAAAGTTTACGTTCAACTTAACCTATATAACTGATAAACGTTACGTTGGCTAATAAGTATGAACTTGCGTGGGCAAGCTGACCGCAATGGAATCAACACAAAGACGTGAAAATTTCTAGAAATATTCAAACACTTAGGTCATCCTAAATCCTCCAAAAAAACTGCTTGCGCATGTAAAAAAGTATTTAGACTTCGCACTTCTTAATCGTGTGATTTGACATGTCGATTTTTTTTCCTCCACGCATGCTGGACATATTTGGGACTTAATATACGGCAACTTTGAAAAAATTGCGGAAAATATGATAGCTTAGGAAAATTTCAGCTCATCAAAAGTTTAGGTGTCTTAATAAGGATGAGTTGTTGCAATTTTTTGGCAATGGAACGCTCATTTCGCCTTAAAAAACCGCTGGGGTCTCCGTGACAGGCCCGCTGTGGGGAAAACCCCTTCCGACATGATTAACTCTATCCTGTAAAAGTACGTGTTAGCTTTGATTAAGCTTTGAGTCAGTCGAATGGGAAACAGTTGTGTCAATATTCAGCTTTCTCTGCTTATGAGACCAGTAGGGTAACAGTGACTTAACACACATCAATCCCGTTATTTCTCGTAGTAGATATTTCCGTAAGTAAACCTCGAATATACTGTACGTGGCAACGATCTGGTTTCCAACCCATTGTGAGTTAAGTTTCTGTCGAAAAGGACAAATTCAATTGCAATTTTGACAAATATAAGGTGAGTTTTAAAAACTTAATTTAACTTGAAACCGTATATGTTCATTTTTATACCGTAGTGATCGGGATTTTTGCTTTCAGAGAGAGCTGAAGTTGCGATGTGTTGTTAATTACCCAAGTATTGGATTGAATCAAACATCAGAAAGTTCTGATCACTGCAGCGAAATACATAATGACAGAGATGACTATATTGAAGTTAAACTTCTATAAGTGTTTATTTAATACGATATTTCCTGAGTTAGTAAGATAAGAATTTGAGAAAGAAGAATGAAAATGAAATAGCTTTGCACACGTGGCAGTAAACCATTTCGCCACGTTCGATCGTTCTCTGTTAAAAGGAGCGCAGTTCTGTTTGGACTTTAATCCAAACATTTTTTAACGTGTCCTAAAAACAAAAAAATGCCTGAACCCTATAATTATACTCTACCCAAGTTATCGGAGCATCGTGATTTATGATCATGAATTGTCACGACGTAACTTTGCGTGACCCTTCATATTGCTTTCAATTGACATTTCGAAGCTAACTTCGATAAAGTTAGAAAGCGAAAATTATGATAAAGAAACTATGGAAGTTTGTAGCTCTCTGATCTTCCCCGTAGGTTCCTTTAAAAAAAATTGATGTTATGAGATCTCCATTAACCTGGTCACAAGAAATTCACGTTTTAAGTCTTAACGACTTCTAAGAAATCTTAAATAATTCCGAGAAGTGAAGCGCTCTGAACTTCC